TTGTATAGTATAATCGTAAACATGCAAAACTATGTAGGCGCGGTCGTAGACGTTTGTGGGAGTGGTCGATATACGAATTTTTGATGCGATTCCACAGTTCGGTGACTTTCGTAATATGAATTCCTAAAATTTGTTTATAGTAAAACGGCCTGCTCAGCACTCACTACTCACGATGATTTCGTTTAGAAATGCAGTTACCAGGAAAGGAACTGATTCTAAAATATGTAAATTTAAAAGCATTGGCTAACAGAATAAAGCGATGTGAAGACAAGGTACAAACTTTTATAGTTGCTATTTGTTATAAAATCTATAAATAAACTGATTCAACAATCATTTTGCCTCGAATTTGCATATTCTATGCTGCATGTTTATATTTTATTTTTATAGTATAAAAATAAAATTGTAACACTATGAAATAAAATACATTTCTGTTTATTGACCAGTAGTTATTTAATGTCTTCTTCATCCAGTGGTCAGAGTAAATTTCTACTTCTAGCAAGTAAATATTTGACAAGCAGTCTGGGATAAGCACAGGACTTTTAATGCATCAGCCAAATCCAAGTGTGCCCATCCCCCTCGCCCAGCCATTTTCCTGTAAAGCACATCCCGGGGGTTGGGCATTTCCACTCGAACCTTAGTCCCGGCGGGGCATTTGAAATTAATAATTTGGATTCTTGCACTTCACTTGTGGAATTAATATTAGAATGTTAGGGTTTGTAATCCAAGTGCATGAGAATATATACATGTATACATTTTGTAATCCAAGTGAGAATATACAAATGTATAGTACATGTATATATTTTGTGTATATATTTTGTAATCCAAGTGAGAATATACAAATGTATATATTCTCACTTGGATTACAAACCCTAACATTCTAATTTTAATTCCACCAAGTGAAGTGCAATAATCCAAATTATTGAAGTCCACCTTATCACAACCCGCACACCCGATTACCTAAATATACATGAACTTATGGTTAAAGCTCAACAGCTGGCCTCTGTAGCTCGGTTAGAGCGCTGCACCGGAATCGCAGGGCCGTAGGCTCAATTCCTACCAGAGGACCTTGTGCTGCATTTTCCTGGTTAGGTCTTAAAATGTATTCTCACTTGGATTACAAACCCTAACATTCTAACATTTGAAATTAAGGATTTGGAGGTTTTGCGATCACTGATAGCTTGATAATAATATAAAACAAAACATTTCTATCTGCAACTTTTACAATCACTGATAAATTGATAATAATTTAAACCAGTCAAGTTGTAGTTTAAATAGAGAATAATACATGGGTGCACGAAATACCAGATTTATTTCGAGTGTTGAACATGAGTGTGCAGCGAACAAGTGAGCGCAGCGAACGAGTGAGATGTCATTTTCAACACGAAAAATAAATCTGGTATTTCCAACCACCCATGTATTTTTCTGTTTATTATATAAAGGACAGTCTTAAATGAAAAGCGATAATTTTTACAGAAAAGCGATAATTGAAAAGGCGATAATTTTCACATGTGAGATTATCATGAATAATTTAGGTAAATTTAAGTAGATTTGCAGAAGATTTTCAGGGGAATTCAGGGAATTCTCAGGACATGAGAAAGTGAATTTGGAAAACAACTGTATTTTCGGAAAAATTATTATATGTCCTGAAAATTTTTTGTACATCTGGAAACATTTTGGTCACCCCCCTACCCCCCTCTATCTAACCTCACACACACCCTGAGACGAAGTGCTCGCAACGGCACTGAGTATACATCTTTTGAAAACAGGCGAGGGGTTATTGCATGCATGTATTTCTAGTAGTGTTATGTTCCATTATACAGGGTGTCCCAAAAACCCCGAAAACTATTGAAATCGCCAATAACAATTTGATTGTTAGAATTTGAATGCCTTAGCGCTCTGTTGGTTCCCACGAGTACATAAATTATTGACATAAGTAAATTTTATGCATAAAGAAACTGTTTAAGAAGCGGTTTTAAATTCCCAAGAGCAGAAAATCGCGCACTTTACAAGGAGATGCTCTTAACTAAATTTTAATACATAAACCTTGCCAATATTTTACGCATCATTACGTTCAGCTTTTTGGCAGGGCATTCAAATTGAACAATAAGTGATTTCAATAGTTTTCGGGGTTTTTGGGACACCCTGTAGTGTTAACCCAAAGTTTTGGCCGTGAAGCAGCACTTCCTTGCGTTAGTAACTTTTAGTATATACGATATATAATTTACTGTATAGCACAAAGACATACTAAGACTTTAACTAGGGGTCTAAATCGAAAAGCCTGTTAAGGTTTCAATAGACTCCTAGCCCGATAATTTATTTTTATATTTCCTTTTATGTAAATACTAGTATTTATATGGGCGAATTATTAAATAAATAAATAAATAAATAAATAAATACGTTCATGGTTCTCAGTACTGCAATGCCAATGTAATCCTCTCAAGGACCGTGCAAACAGAGAATCTAGTATTTTAATTTATAATTGTCGTCAATGTCGTTCACGTTCGAGAACGTCATGGTGACACTTGATTTCTAGCAGTTACTGCTTCAACAAATTCATCCCAAATATATCAAGCGTGCGATAGTGTCCAAACTATATATTTGCCATCTTTTGTCTTTGTCCATCACAGTCCTTAGATGCAGTTTCCTTGACAAAGCCGTTCAGCTTCACTCGCTATCGACCACATAATATTGCTTGCAATATACTAATGATATTTAGACTTCGAAACTTTGTCGATCTACTCGGTGAACTATACTTAATTGATTCCGAACGGATAATTTTCCTTCATTTTGTCGTCCTGGCAAGCGAAAGATAAGAATTTGAAATGTTTCAAATCGAAATTTTGTCATATTCAAGACAACGTCCGTAGATATAGTCTGTCGAGGAGTATTGTTTTAACTTTAAGTGTCACACTTACTGGTCACCTAGTTATCTCAATAGCAAGGTCCAAGTCGCTGCTTCATGTTTGTCAGCTATCAATAGAAATTCCATTCGGTAGCGGCCAAAAATATGGCCGGCTAAGGTATTTATATCAGGTGATATAGATATTTATCACTTGGTGTATGCACATATAGCATTTGGCATTCATCATGATCATTGATCACTGTAGCTAGCATAACTAATTCCTAGTATGTATGCACGATTTGCAGAACCTACCCGCTGGAATGTTAGGGAAATAAATTACTATATACTATCCTATTGGTAATAGCAATGATCTGTGTATTTTATATTATTACGAAGAACCAAGATAAAAATTCTTAGTGTTAAGTGCAAAAATAAGATGAATACACGCCATCACTTATTTAGTATTTACATTATTAGTCTTTACTGACTTTTAAGATATATATTAATGCCCAGCATAAAATACGTAAAAGAGCCATAACAAAAATGTAGTTTGCATTTACAAAGTCAACAGGAATGTTTACCTCAAAACCTTACGTAACCCGTCTCTTCCATCTGATGGTTATGATGTTTTTAAGACTATCATGTATTGTATTTCTTTCCAAGCAGACGCAAGGTATGTACACGTCGGACTGTGTCTACATCGCGTATCACTGTTTTTACATTGTTTACTTCGTTACACGTAACTTGATATTGGGCATCGACATTATGGGATAATTGAGATTGAATTCCGTGCATACACAAAAGTGAACAACATATAAATGAACAAATCACTAAATAGTTTGTTCATTGACATTGTAAGTTTATTTTTATTTTAACAAATAGTAAATAAAACTATTTAATGAAGCAAAACACTGAATGGTGATAAACCCAAACTACGGGACTTACTACCAATAACGTACCATTAAAATTTAAAAAAATTAAAACGGCAAATCTCTCAAAGTTTCCGTGGATAGTAACTTAGACCCCGTTTACATTATACCGGATTGCTGCCCAGCAGGAGCAACGTTTAACAACAAAGGTTTACTCTTTCGATAATGTCCGTACGTTTCTGCTTGTTACTACCATTAGAGACCTTAAAATTTTAGGACGGTAACGGTTACAGATACAAAAGATCACTGAAAATTTGAAATAAATAATTACAATATAGAACAATAGACATTGTTCTCGCTCTGTTTACAACGCCAAATCACAGATTTTCATGTCTTGATACAACGGCTGCATTCCAAGCCGCAACAAGTGCAACGTCGAACTGGGTTCAGCAGAATTCTTCCCAACTATAAAACCCGGCCATGTCTTCAACTTCTAAGACTGTATTAAATTCATACGATTGATAATATACGACGAATTATCTTTACTACCATTTATTTGAAGGAGTTTGTTTTGGCCGTCGCCGTCGCGTTGCCGTCCTAAAATCGTAAGGTAGTCTAATTATAAACAGTGGCGCCGCCAGCCCAGGGGGGGGGGGGGCGAATATTCACAGTGTCATATTACCACAAAACATTTTGCATTTGTAAATAATTATAATTAACTATTATAAGCTTTAGCAATACACTTGTATGTAAAGTCATGCTATAATAAAGCTATTTGTTACTGTTTGTTGCATACCCCCCAACGTACTCCCCCCCCCAGTACACATACTTTATGACCGGGCCCTTGTACATGGGAGGGCTTAATTACAGGGGGGGCTTATGTACAGACAACATTTGATGTTAGTATACCTCCTCCGCATTTCGTGTTCACAGACTATAAAAACAATCGATTTCAAAAGAAGTTAATTAATAATGCAGAACACGAAGATATGAATATTCGAGATTATTTCATAATTGAGTCGGTTTTCTTTGAAGTTCCGCGGACTGTATTTAATTAACATAAATATCGGTCATTAATTAGGCCAACCGTCTAAAAGCACGGGGAGGGTTTTGATATTCAACAGGGAAGAGCGGGGCTGATGAATTGAATAGATAATTATGAATAGGTGGGCTGTATTCACATACAACCCGGAAATATTGGGCTGTATCTGAATACAGCCTGCTGTTCTAGTACTGTACATTTGTACCTGCATAGATAGAGGCCATGAATTGATAATCCATTGAACTTACACTACGACCACTTCGATTAACATTTCTAATACTACTTCACACAAACGTATTGAAAATATATTTCAAACTTCAAGCTATCACCTTCGCTCTTGTTAATTTCGCTTCCTAATTCCTCTTCAGCTTGTTCACGGACTTCCCGACACTCGCTATTAGTTGTATTGGTTGTCGCCAAAGACGTGTGCACCATACCAAACTTGATCAAACGCTTTTGACATTTCTACTTTGTACTCTATGCTAGGTCTCCAATACTGCTGTAACGACTTACTGTACGTCTCTATGACCTGTTTTTTCCATAATTAACTTATCTGGTATCCCCTTTACGAGACCACGAGTTGCCATTGTTGCTCTAAGACTGTGATTTGTAAAGTTGCCTTCTATTCCAGCATCCTGACAAAGTTTCTTAACTACTCCTCCAAGTGTGTTGTAGCCCACTGGATTTGAAGTGAACCAAACTAAAACACAGAAAATTCAGCTAAAGCTATAAAAATGGAAATTAACTACAATAAATGATAAAACTAACTAAATAACTTGTTTGTACCTTTATCTGAATCAGAATACTTTCGG